CTTCCCATCAGGTAATGACCACTGCACAGATGCAAGTGAATCTATTTTAAGCAGTCAATAATAAAGGTTTTAAAGTGTTGTTTGAACTGTATCTTTATTGTTTAAGGTGCGTTTTACACGAACGTTCTATTAGGGTTTTGTTCAATTCCTTGCGATTCCTATATATGGTTAATAATATCATAATATCATTATCAAGATAATGAAGAAGGATTTGAAGTTGACACATATACTTTATTTCGAGTAGAAGTATAAGATGAAATGCTGTGAAGGGCTGTATGGAAACAAATGAATAGTGGCAATAATATAGTGAATATCTTAACGTTATTTTCAGTCATTGTTAACTGGTGTTTACTTACGTTAAACAAAACATACAATTTTTCTTCTGTTAGAATTGACGATTGTTGTTGTTGGTGTTTTCTTAATACACTGATACACAATGGGATGTCTGTACTCTGTCCACTGCAGGGAATCAAACCCTGACTTATAAATTGAAAGTCACCGGAGAACTAGAATTACGAAAGTCTTGAAATAAATTCCTCCAGAATACATTATTTTCACTTTATGACAAGAGTTTTGAAAGTCTTACCTTATATCTCTGTAGTATATGTGTGGTAAAAGTTACAATTTATGAATGATTAACATGTTAATAATACCATATGAACGTTTGATGTTATATAAGAAATACTGCTTACTTTAAACCATGCTTGTTGTGACTTTTTAACTCATAGTTGTTTCACAATCAGAATATGCTCAATCAAATGTGCCTCCGTAAATGCCCTGGGAAAAAGTTCCACTTTATATATGGTCATTCTTCTTGCACAATGAAATCGGTTGTTCATATAAACACATGCGACTATATACATAATGTACCCGAACACTGATAACTTTATACCAGTGCATTTTGTAAACTTGTAATGAAATGAGTTGTGATTACGTTCCTTAAATTTTGATAGTCACAAGCTGTCTCATAATTTGGCAAAAAAATAAAAAATAACAAAAAAATAGCAAAAACGTTGAAGTTATTTTTTTTCTAGAATTACTAATGTTTTAACTATAGTGAACAGGTGTGTGTCCTTCACTGGAAAGTCCATGGTATGGCGCGTTATGCTCGTATTTCAAACGGCTATTTCAGATTCAGACAGTACACTCAATATTGTAACTTTAATGTGTGTAGTTGCAAGAAAACTCTCTTTTGACGATAGGTTATGAAAAATCGTCATGTGATACAACTTATATCGAACTGGTGTATTTAAGTGTTTTACACTCACGTAAAAGAAACCTATCATTCTATAGTTATTTGAAGAACTTGTAGCATTCCGCCACAATTTATTTATTCAATACAACTTATAGTTCCAGCCGGTTCATAACCTATATATCTTGTACTAATTAAACTATAAAAGTCAAATTCTTTCTTATAAGACATATTTTATATGTCTAGAATTTTATGTTGTCTTTTCTACTATAGATGGTGGTATAACTACATCGATCACGACTTAATGTTGGTTTATGTTGTTGTTGTTTTCATAACTAAATTTTGAAATGCACGTGCTAATGTAATCAATGACCTTTGTACATTGAAAGTATACACATAGTCACGTCCTGGTTTACATATTAGTTGGACTGTAAAACATCCTGAGAACACGACAGGTGGGAGAAAAGGTGAACCTGTAACTTTGTGAGTTAGCAAGTATGAAATACGATAACATTTCCAAAGACGCAATATCACACACAGAAACGCTAGGCGAGAGCATGGGGCTTCAAGGACTTCGCAGAAACTGTACAGTAAGTACTGTTTCGAGTTACGTGATGAAATATTTTCGTTTTAGTTTAGGCGATTTAAAAATAATACCTTACTCAAAGATGAGTTAGAAAAATAGAACAATTCGAATTTGCTAAACTAACAACGACTGTGAAATATCCGTCAGACTAAGTTGCCAACTATCAAATAGCTCTAATCTCAAGTTTCTGCTGTACTCATAATATTAGATAAGAAAACGGTAGATCATTAGATTAGCATAAACTCTAACCCATAGTTGTTATTACAAAATCAATTTAAATTACCAAAATAGTTCCACAAGTCACCCCACACAACTGCCGTCTTCAGTTTCTGTTGTACGTACTATATATATATATATATATATGTCGCCTGTGTTGTTTTATAGAAATACCTAA